TGGGAGCACTAATGCGATAGAAACGGTATTTATTCCCGAAAAAAATCGTGGCACACTTTGCGTCTCGACCCAAGCGGGATGTAACGTGGGATGTACGTTTTGTTCAACGGGTGCGCAAGGCTTTAGCCGCAATTTAACGAGCAGTGAAATTATGGGGCAACTGTGGATGGCCGAGTTCAAGATGCGCGAGTCCACACAAAACGTGCGCTTGTCTGACACCAAGGCACCGCCCCAAACAGAAAGTGCCCAAGACGTGTCTAAACGTGCCATAACCAATGTTGTGTTTATGGGTATGGGCGAACCGCTCCTCAATTTTGATGCCGTTGTTAAATCCATCAGTTTAATGCTTGAAGATCACGCTTACGGCCTATCCAAACGCCGTGTAACCGTTTCGACATCGGGGGTTGTACCGAAAATGCGTGAACTTGCCAGAACAATGCCCGTCGCTTTGGCCGTGTCGTTGCATGCGCCGAACGACACCATACGAGATCAAATTGTTCCGCTAAATCAAAAGTACCCCTTAGCAAAACTCATGGATGCTTGTATCGATTATTTGAATTTTGCACCACGGGACTTCATCACTTTTGAATATTGTATGTTAGATGGCATTAATGACCGACCTGAACATGCCTTGCAATTATTATCTTTACTAAAGCCTATTTCCTGCAAACTCAACCTCATTCCCTTTAATCCTTTTCCTAAGTCAGGTTTTCACAGCTCCAAACCTGAATCCGTGCAACAGTTTGCACGAATTTTAACGCAAGGGGGTATTGTGACGACTGTACGCAAAACCCGTGGGCAAGATATTGATGCGGCTTGTGGACAATTAGCCGGCAGCATTGACAATATTTTAAAACAGTCTTCTGTATCCTCACCGCTGACGACCATGGAGCCTGTTTAGTATGCCTGCCCACTTTGTTATTTTCCGTTTTACAATATTCATGCTCGGTTGTCTATTGATGGCTTCTTGTGTAGTACAAGGGCAATCCGCCTCATCACAACTCAATAACAATCAACCCAATAGTGCACAAACACAACGTGTAAATGGTGAAGTGGCCACCTACTCTGACATGACTGAAAGACAAAAGCTCGCTGCCATAAAATATGAGTTAGCAAACAATTACTTGCGGGCTGGACAACTCAATACCGCACTTGATGAGGTCAAAATTGCCTTATTGATCAACCCCGCTTTAGCGCCAGCCCAGCATCTCAAAGCCATTATTTATGCGCAGATGGGGCAAACCGATTTGGCCATTCGTGACTATGCCAAGGCCGTGCAAATGAATCCTAGCGACCCTGACATTCTCAACAACTATGGTTGGTTATTATGCAACCAAGGTCAGTATGCAAAAGCAATGCCTCTTTTTGAAAGTGCCATCCGTTCACCACAAAACAGTACGGCCAAACCCTACACCAATGCAGGATTATGCAGTTTGTTTGCCAAAAAAATCCCGCAAGCTATGGATTATTTTCAAAAAGCCATCAGACTGGAGCCGTACAACCCAATAGCGAATATTCATATGGCGCGCATTTTGATGGTTGAAGGCAATGATCTAGGGGCGCAAACTTACTTATCGCAGCTCAACAACTCCAATACACTCACATCTGAGTCGATTTGGCTGGAAGTGAAAATTGCACGCAAATTGAATCAAACGAACCGTTTTAAAGATTTAGTCAACGAGTTAGGTCGATCTTTCCCTAACTCTAAAGAATATACCGCCTA